TTTTTTTTTTTTTTTGAAGTAATGGAATTGTTTTGTGGTTTATTGCTTTCAGTAAGAAGTTACTGAACATCAACGATCAAAAATCAGTGTAAAATTTTCAGTTGTAGTACTGTTTTTTTGATTAATAGTTGTATAAAACCGTAGTGGATGCTTTCATTTAGTTTAAGCCGAAAGCCCAATTTCTCAGGTTTACGCTAATAACAAATGTTTGGATCCAATATCAGTTTAGGCTTAAACAGGGATAGTAAAGAGCAGGCCTGCATTAGGCTACTTTGTAGCACCTCAGTCTCCTTCACAGAACGGGTAGTAACTTCAGAATTTTATTAAGTGTCAAAATGAATTATCACAAAAATTACAACTTAACGAGTACAATTTTTGATCTTTTACTGATGATGACAAGAGTGGTCCTGTTTCAAATTAGGAAATGGTCATTGCATTTTTTTTCCACGCCAGTCCCTAAAATCCTTGATCTCCTATTGTGAAATTTTATGAACTCAGTTTTCTGTCAAGCAAAAATAAAGTATCACAGGTTTTTGTTTGTGTCATTTCTTTTAAATTCACTATGGATCTTTTAGTTCCGAAAAATTAATTATCGGAAGTTCTATTATGCAGTAAATTTTCTATTTAAATTAATCTTCGTATACGCGGCATCTTTGGTTTACGTCGTTTTTAACTGTGTTGAAGAAGTGCCTAGACCTATCTGCACGAGTGTGGTCGGATTTTTTTCTGGTAGGGCCTTTAAATTTTTCAGTCATTAGTAGAAACGATGTCCGTGGATCCCTCTGCTGTTGAGTCAAAAAATGGAGTGCAGCAGCACAATAATAATACCCAACCAATAAAGTACGAAATTCCCAATTGGGCTGGACGCCCACCAAACGGATATCATTTAGATGTTGTTAAAGCAGACCAGCTAGTCCAGGTCAGTGATGAGTGGACCGTAAAAATCTGAATTAATGGTACTCAACTTTTGTTAAACTTTTTAGAAACTGATGGTTGATGAGAAACGAGCGTATTATTTTGGCCGTAATCCAGAACAGTGCGATTTTGTAGTTGAACACGCATCTTGCTCTCGAGTTCATGCTGTTCTAGTTTTTCATAAGTTCCTCCAACGGTTTGGATTAGTAGACCTTAATAGCTGTAAGTTTCCGTAAATTATTTTTCATGGTACGGAGTCTAAAAAAGTTATTGAGATTTGATATTCGTCGCGAAAGACTTTTTTGA